GCCCAAACTGTATTATGAACATTTCCAGATAGGTAAGCAAAAAATTAAATTCAGTTAAACTTGCTTATTTCCAGCTTCAGAAGTATTTCCCAAACTTATAAGACTCTTGGTGTGGTGTCAAATTGTATTCAAGATACCAGCAGTTATGGATGTGTCCTTGTCACTTATTCTTGTTGCTACTCTAACATTTATCCTTTGTCTTCATTCCAGTTTCCCTTCCTTGTTTCATTGTTAAAGCCTTCATATGATATATCGCTGTGTTTTCCTCTAGTAAGGTCTGGCAGGAAAGGACGTCGGCGGGTGTTTAGTCTGTCGGAGGCTGACAGTCACGGTGGACACTGGGTTTAGGTCTTCAAGCAGCAGCTGCAACAGAAACTCGCGCAATATCAATTCAGGCAGGTTCCTGCATAAGCTTTCAAAAGCCCGTAACAGTTAATAGAATGTATTTGGTTTCCCTGCTGTGACAGCAATGACAGTGAGGTAGGAAACTGAAGAAAGCATCCTAAATATTTGTCTCTACTGTTTTTGGGGGAGAATTGTAAAGCAATAATTAGCTGTTTCTGAAAGCCTTATCTGCAGTTTCTCCCATGTTTTTTGGCTCTCTTGCCAAATATGGAAATTCTGCTATCAAGCCTCCAGCTTCAAAGCAGCTATGTCTTCATTTGCACAGGGGCAGCCATGGCAGTAGTGGAATTTAGTAAGCACAGGCTCCTGAATGGACAGTAATGCAGGTACTTGGCTAGGAGCAAGAAATCTATTTGTAACTTGGATAAAATGGACAAGCATTCAGCATAAGACTGTCCTTGGACTGTGATGGCACAAGCTTAATATTTCCATGATTATCAAACTCAGGCAGATGGCTTTATGGACTGTTTAATTGCCTGAGGAGCTGAGGAAGGGAAGCAGATGCAAAAAGATGGAAATACACTTCAGACTATCTTTGTATTTCTATAACCTGTTTTAACTTGTACCTAATTAATTTCTTTTTTTTTTTTTTTACTATCATGGCATGAAGATATTTTACTCTGTTAATATTATATAAACAGCTTTTTTTCATCTTTATAGATTTACTTTGCGTCTTTTCACTTAATGTCCTGTTATTTATATTTTTATTATGCTTTCGTAGTATGTTGCTGTAAAGCTTAGGACACTTATCTGTAGATGATAGTCATTCTTTCCTTTTCCTGTTCTTTTCTATCTTCTTTCACTAATAATCATCCTTAACACAAGTTAATATAACAGAAGTTGAGTGATTTGGTTTGGATTTTTTTGCTGTAATGATAATCTTGGTTGCGTTATAGAAATGCTGGAAAACATCTAAGGTTGCTGAAGCCACTGCAGCCAGAGGGCGCTAATAATACCCAAAAACTTGCAAAATGACACCCTGTCTTCAAACCTTGTTTGGTACTTAAATTTGGGGGTATGTGGGGGGAGTTGTTTCTTAGAACTAAATGTTAACATCGCAACTGTTTTAAGAAACCAACTTCGCTCTCCATGGTTTTGTTGCAGTTCTGGCTTATATTTTTTTGCCAGAACACACTTGCTTAAATACATGGAGGCTGGGGAGAGGTAAATAGAAATGCTGTTTTTCCATATTAGATGCTAACTTTTTGATATTTAAGAGTAGAGCACATCTTAGTGACTGGTGATTTTATTCAGGTAAAAATTACAATTATTTTTGCTCTTCCTATCCAAAAGTCAAACTGGAAGCAAATGTTGGGAGTTTGGGGGTTTTTGAAAGCAGTTAGTATTTTTGTGTGCAATATGGACAGAAGTTCCAGATAATGGGTAGAGAACTTAATCTCAAAACATACTGGGTGCTTAGAAACTCTTTTGAATCAAGAGCTTGGTACCTATCTGGATTTTGGAGACAGACATTCTTGTAATAATCCCTTCTTGAGCTTTTTTTTCAGCTAGAGTGCATCTTTGCCAATTGTTTTTTCCAGTTTCAGAGACTTTAAGAATTCAGATCTTACATAAATATATATTTATGTACTTGGATCCTTCTGTGAATTGAGTATGACTTCAAAAGGCTTTGAAATTTTGAGCCTCAAAGATTTTCTCATTAGTAATTATCGTCCTGAAGCCAACTGTTCAATTAACTGGGAGGTGTTACATGTGAAAATTTTTTCATCAAGTGGGTGGTCTGATTTTTCACTATAATGCCTCTTATATACCAAATTTTCATTCCAAGATGCTGGATCTCTGTATTCTATTTTCTATTTAGTTACCTCCATCTGTAGTCTAGGGTTGTTTTCCTCTATCCTTGTATCCAAAAGATATGGGAGATTGTCATGCTTAAAAACTTACCTAGCACAAGATTACAGTTGCAGTTTCAAGCTAATTATACACCTCAAGTAGCCTATGGATTCGTGAGCTCGGTCACAAAGATGTAAGTACCGCTTTCACAGCTGTAGTTTAAGAGTAAGATTTTTAGTTAAGTGTTAGTGCAGAAGGGATAATATATTGCAAAACAGTAGTGAGAGCTGTTGACCTTGTGTAGACAATGTTAAAAATTTTCCCTCCACTGCTACTTGTGTACTGGTATTTGCTTTCTGCCCCTGCAGGGATTAGTGGCAGTTTGCAAATACCTAGTCATTTTGGCAGTAATGCCGTGTTGGGTTACAGAAACCTGTCACTGCTACCCTTAAATACAGTAACAGAGTAACAGAAGTGAAGCTCTGACAGTGACTAATGAAATATTTAAAGTAGAGGAGACAGACTTACTCCTATCAATAGTAAATAGAAGCAGGAGGGAAGCATAGAAGAGCTCTAGTTTTGTATTCTTTATAAATACTGCAGCTAAAATATTGGACAGAGTATGTTCTGCTTACATTTTTTGATATTTTTATCTTTCTGAATGTTTTTTCAGACTTTTGGATAGAAAATTTGGACTTGCTGATTCCAGATAGTACTTTTGGTTGGTTGGTTGGTTGGTTGTTTTTTTTTAATAGAGACTTTTTTCAAATACTTTCTTTTTCTTTGGTGTTAAGGGAGTCACTTTAACATTAATTTAGATCCTATGTGGAAGTATTTGGGGACAATAGAGCATAACAAAAGAATATGTATATCTATCATGATTTCAGTAAATGAAAGTATTGAGAAAATATATTAATATTTTGTTGGGAGAGGGGGAGGAATGATTTAAGAAATGAACTGCAGAATCAGAAGTGAAATAGCAGAACTGCAATAGAAATATACTGTATATAACATTCCTGAGCAGAATGCCATTGATTGATAATACTTTATTTACCAGAATGTCTCAGGTTTTGAATCCTGAATTTTGGTGAATATTTGTACTATAATTAAGATAAAAAATAATCTTGGCAAAGAAAGTTTGATATTCTTTTAAGATTTTATAAATTCAGAAAGTAAAATCACCGCAAAAAGACTCACAGTTTTGTGCATATGGAAATGTTAGTATTTATCTTGGAATTCAGAGAAATGAGGCTTTATTTCAATGTTTTTAGCAGTTCATTTTCCATGCAAGTCTTGTATCACTTCCTCTGTTATCAATCGTTACATTCTCACTAAAGCTTCTTGACAGGTAAAAAGAAGAATCTGCAGAGTTACTTTGAATCTGTCCTTAATTTTTCAAAAATAACCAGTGATGTCCCTTTTATTTAAAAGGAGACTTTTTTACAATCTACAAATTTTGTTTTTATTAAAGTGAGAAGCTTTAGCCACCGATTCAGCAAAAAGTAAAATTGAGTGGTTTTCTGAAGTGAGAATACACCATTGTTTGGGGTTACCTTACTAGAAAGGTAAAAAACAAACAAACAAACAATAATCTTGTTATCTCACTGATACCTTACTCATATCCATTCCATTCTCAGCTTTGTTTTTCTTTTTTTTTTTTTGCCTTATGTTCATGCTTTCTGTTCTTTTACAGGATTAATTGGAATCATATTGAAATTGAAATATTTCTAAGGTCACTGTGTATTAAAAACAGAACTTAATTCTTAGCTTCTGTATTCACTACATTGCCTTGTAGACTTTTCTGCAGATGCCTGTACACTTGAACACATGCTGTTTCTTATAAGAGGTCTAAAAATGGTCTGTCTTGAAGCTGGATACCTGCTACTTTAATGGCATTCTATTACTCTAGTCTGAAAAGAAAAAAAAAAAAACCTGACTTTTCTGGGCATACTTGCTCATATAAGGCTGTATCGCCTCATCCCCTCCATTCACTATCCATCTGAGCTAAATGAGCATTTTACTTGATAGTTAGCTAGGATTTTAAGGGGCAAAAGGATGGTACAAATACCTGTTAATGTATTTAGGTTTGCTTTTTTTTATTGTGTGGGAAAGTGTAGTAGCATATCAGTTTTCTGTGGTATATAATACTTAGTCCCAATTTTGTCTGTGTTGTATGCTCCATGCTTAGTAGCACAAAAAAATCATAACACAAACCTGTATAAAAACAGGCCTATTTTGCAGCACCTTTCAGTTACAGTAAGCACATTATTCTCCTTCCTGTTCTTCCATAGTTCTGCTTTCTGTGGTTGAGGTGTCACTTAAATGTGAATCTAGAGAATGAAATGAGAGAATGACTTCCCAATTTTTGTGAGGAACAGCCACCTCTTGGCAAAAACTAGTTATACAGGGGTTCTTTTTTTTTTATTATTTCTAAAGAGCTTCCTGGTATGGGGTGGCTATTCATTTTAGTTTATACTAAATACTGGAGAGGCTTTCTTATTGTTCCCCTCAGTTTCCTCTCTCTACGAATATTTCTGATATTGCTGCATATTCTAATACTAAATGTATAAAGTTTTCTGGTTCCTAATTTTAACAGATTTCTGCTGGCTTTTTATGTTATGCCTTCATAATATTTTTTTTTATTTCTAATTACTAAAAAGTGAACGTGTAAGCATAGTGCTTCACAGAACTGCATTTTCCACCCAATTATTCTTAAATATTCATAAATAATAGTATACTGTTAGGCTTAATGTACATACTAAGTTGAATATTGATTGTTTCTTGGTGTTTTCTTTTATTAGATGATGCTTCAGCTCCAGAGCAGCCTCAGATGACCATTTCTGGTCAAATGATGTTGTCTGATGAAACTCTTTCAGCTGTCTCAAAGTCTAGCAAGAATGCTGTAAAAAACAGTGACATAGAAACAGCAAACCTGTCTCCTAGCCTGATTCCTGCACAGCAGCCCACAATATCATTAATAACAGATGACAATACGGATGCACTAAGTGTAGAGTCGCTTACACTGGTGCCACCGGTTGATCCACACAGTATTCGAACATTCGGCTACATTCCTCAGTCCTCTTTGCAATCTGAAGTTTGCAAGGTGAAAGAGGTGGAGGAAGAATGTTCTGACTAAAGCCAACCTGCAGACTGTGACAAACAGTGAAACAAATGCAACAAAATTCTTTGTCGTTTTTCCTTTGGGAGTGCAGATACTTGTTGAAGCCTGAGAGGCCATCTGGTGCACAAGAAAGAGGCCCACTGATGAAAGAGAATGTGGGCAACTTTTAGAGTAAACATCAGATGCTCAGCATATTTAAACTGGAGAAGAAAAAAAAAAACAACTTTTGAATCTGGACTGGTTGTTTCCTAGCAATTTCTGTTATACAAGAACATGAAAGTATTTCAGAGCACCTACTTTCTTTCTATTATAGAGTTCCAGCTGCAGGAACCAAGTTAATTGTAGAAGGTCTACAGTATTATGGCAAAGCAAAGAAATTTTTGGATACCTAGCTTCAGGATATTGTATTGTTACTTTTCTGAAGCTGGAGACATACCATTCATCAGAAAAAATTATATACTGTAGTATAGAGATAACATTTCCATTTGAGACATGGTGTGTTTTTCAGTTTGTTTTTTCTTTTTTTAAATCCTGATCTCATTCATCTTTTGGAGGTCTGCATGATACCAGCAGGCTTGGCCACTTTCAGTGTTGTCTTCGTAGGGCTCCAGACTTCAATATTGTGTTTTCTGTGTGTAATATTTATTTCAAGGTTTGATTCAAAGCAAGATATATATCAAACAATTCTTTAAAAGGTAAAAGCCTGAAATTCAATGATAAATGCTTATTCAAATTAACATAAGGGATTTTTGAGACTACTTTAGTCTTTGCTTAACCAGCTACAGAGGAAAGTGAAATATTTTAAGAGATTGCCATAGCTTGTTTGTTCGCTTCTGACAGTCAAATTGCTATACCTCTAAGGAATGATGATACACTTTCTACTGAAGGACAACTTCCAGAAGCAGACAGAAGCAGTTTAAAGAAGTTTTTTAAATTTTTCATCTTCATGTAGGAAGAAGGTCACCACATCTACTGATAATTCCTTTGCAACTCTGAAACTCAAAAGGAAAGGTATTGTGTAGTTTTTTTCCTATCTGGGATAGTATCACAGTTAAACAACATTGCTACATAAAAGTGATTCTGAGTTTATGCTTGCCTTACTTTGCTTCCTAGATCCTGATACCAAGTTGACAGAAAGAACTGGAAAAGTGTTGATTAAAGTTTGGAATGTTCTTTGCTGATTTGATATGTAATTTAACATGAATGGAATTCAAAATTTCTCATCAAATTCCATGTGTGTTAATTTGAATTAATAGTAAAATGAGCAGATTGTGATTATTGGTCTGCTCATAACATTGAGTGCTTTCTGACTCAAAGATTGAAGACTCCTATTTACTTTACTTGGTATTGTGATTTCAGTCATCAGTGCAATCTGTTTCCTCATCTGTCTCTGCTAACATTGATTTCATATCAAGTAGGTGAATCTGAAAAGTTTTTACCTACTTCCCAGTCTCTTACTGTACCTATTCCTGGCTGTCAGATGGAACACTTGAAGTGATTTTATTTTAAATGTTGTGTTTATGTAAGAGATTTGACTAATCTGCAAGTATAACTTTGCTTGCTTTTTTCCATCTTTTCCTTCACATAATAACTTAATCTTTGTAAAACTTGTATACAAGGTGTCTGCTATTGAATGCCAGCGATTTTTTTTTTTTTCTTCCCTTATTAGCTTTTCCATGCAGTTTTGTTGATTTCTAGTTTCCTGTGACTTCTGCTTTGTCTCAAATTGAATTAACCAATATTCTGACCATTCCAGAGTGGCCCAACCTCTAAATAAATTTTGAGAGTTAGGTGTCCTCAGTACTGCTATGGATACTGGATGAGAATTTGGCATTGCTGGAGTAAGAGCCTACTTTTTTTTTGGTCATATGCTTAGGGTGAGTTTACACTGCAGTCACTATTGTAGCTAATGTACATGTACCTGAACAAGCCTAGACATCAGTAGCAATTTGGGCACAAGGACCACATAAATTTTTATTAGCTGAACTGATTGCAGTCTAGACTTCCTCTAGTATGTTGCAGTATAACACTGTAGCCCCAGTAATATTCTGAAGATCATTATAAAAAATGATGCCTTACTTAATTTGGAAGCATTTTATGTTAGTTGTTAACCTTAACTCTTGACCTAGATTACACAAAATGCCACTGTGCAGGCTGAATTCCCTTAAATAGAATTAATTTTAAACAGGAAAACCTTGATCTTTAATTTCAAATTCAGTTCTAGCAAGATTAGGACCATGCACAAGGAGTCTTTTCAATGGGTATGCATAATCTCACCCTTGAGCTGTACTACACAAGAAATGGGACAAAAGGAAAGAAAGCTGACATTGTGCTTTTCATTGCCTTTGAGTGGCTTTTAAATCTCATGACCAGTTGTCTACTGAGAGCTTCACAGGAAGTGACTGAGATACTATTATTAGGAAAATAGAAGACTGGGTCTCCTGTCTAGTCCGCTGCTGGTAGAGCCTTGCTGGTCAAGGGGCGGTAAGGTGGGATGCCTTTCAGCAGTTCTGTCAAAAGCTCTCTGTAAAGATAGAATTACACTAGGAAAGCTCTGACTGCACCAGCTCTACCAATGTTGTGGTGTTATATAAATGGTACAACTGGTACAGACCAACCTAAATTTCTGAATGGTTATGCCGCGGAAGCAATTGATTTTTTACTTGTTTGCTTCAAATATTAGGGCATATCTGTATACAATTTGACTGTGCTACATGCTGCATTAGGAGACTTCAGTATGTAAAAGCTTTAGAGATGCTGAAATAATCTGTCATCAGCAGTCTTTTATCTCTGCAAGTACAGTGTTACTCATCTACAATTCCTTGAAGAGTATCGTATCTATCTCTCCCTTATCAGAAAAACTCAAGGGCTGTTTCCTTATCCCCCTTTCACTGTAAAAAGGAAACTCAACCAAGAAAGCATTAGCACATCAGCCACAAATGTAATTTTTTTTCTAAACAAAAGTTGATTTGAGTCAGTGTAACATCACTCTTTTTAACCAAATCCAAAAACCAAGTTGCAAATGAGAGCAGCAGCTAATGCCAAAATTTTGGAGAGATGCTAAATTCTCAGTGTTTGTAGAGGCTATGCCTATCTTCAGCCAGATTCTGTTAAAATAAAACAGTTCTATAATTCTCTTGCTTTTGAGAAGAGAAGCCAAAGAAGCCAAGACATACTGAATGTTACTTTGCTATTTTATGGTCTATGTGTCTCATTTTATCAAATTTTACTAATATATTACGTGTTTAACAGAACTATGTGTTCCCTTCACTGTTAGGTCTCACTGCCTTTTGCTGGTCCCCTTTGCTTTTCTGTCATCCAGTGTACAACAATAAACAAGACTCAAGCTTGTAATTTGTGAAGAGAGTAATGGCAGCATACTCTTGGTAATTTGGTAAAGAAGGGGAGGGAGGAAGCATTAGTGCCCAATTCTAATGTCTGCTTCAACATGGAAGTAATGCTTGCAGTGTAAAACTTGCGTTCAAAAATTAATTGTTTTGCAGAAATTCTTTGATACGGAAAGAAACCAAAGGTTAAGCTTCCTGCACTTCATTTTATAAGCTGTGTGGATTAAACCAAATTCATTAGAAATGTGGTCACATATATTAGTTCTAAAAGTTGTATTTTGTGTGTGAAGTCATGAATTACATACAATATAAGGACTGAGCTCGTTTGTATTCTCCACTGCTAATTTATGATAAACTAAAATTCTGAGCCTAAAAAAAAAAGTTATAAAATTACACCTGTTAAAGAAGCTCCTCAACGTTCTTTGCTTTACAACACAGTTGGAATTTTCCTTGAAGTCGCTTGGTGAGGAAAAATTGGGAGTATCTTCCAGAATTCATTTATTCTTTTGCAATATTGTTGCTAAAGGACAAGTATGTGACATTTAAAAACTCTTCTTCCATATTCAGAATTTAAGACTCAAATCCAGTTCAGTATTCAGAGTTTAAGTCAATGTCCAATGATTCATATGAACCCTTTGCCCAGTAGAGACAGAATACAGGGGGAAATAATGTTCCTTTGTGGATTTGAAGTATTCTTGTATGTAGAATTTTAAAAGTGATGGTTAAAATAGTTTATAGCAAAATCAGCAATCTTTAGGACTGAAATTACTGTGATATTTTTTTTTTCTAATTAAGGAGCAAGACATGAGTGACTATAATTTCCATACTTACTGCAAGTGGCCTGGGATGATTACTTTAAGCAATCTGGGAATTCGATAATTGCCCTGCAATTGAGTGTCATTTTTACTAGTAGTAAATTAAACTTAAAACTGTATGTTTGAAGACATAGGTAAGCTATGAGACAAGCAGGTCAAACTGTATGTATAAGTATGAAGCCACTTCTTAAAAGTAAACGCTTTAATCACATGGTGCTGTCAGTGCTCTAGTGTAATCCGTCACTCTTTTTGCTGCACATGGTATAGGTAAATAACTACAGAATAACCTAATGAATAGTTTCACTAACCTGCACGTAGTACTCTTCAAAAAAAACCCCACCATGCTAAACATTCTGATACTGTATTTGCTAACCAGCTAAAGTTAAATGGGGAGTTGCTTTTAAAAGAACATTGCACAGGCAGCTGTTGTTTGGGAAACTAAGTGTTTTAGTCCTATAGTTGAATCAAAGATTTGTGAGGACACATCAGATGGGCATCAGTGAGATGTAGGCATTTTGCCTCAAAGATAATGAGTCTCTTTGATGAGTCTTCTTATTGTCAGGCAACCTAATGTTAGGCATTTAAATATATGTCGAAAATTCTCTTCCAACTGTTACTGTCATTCTTCTCGAAAGAGTTTTTTGGTATGTCATTTTTTTAACCATCACTGGCCTACCCTAGGATATCACTAACCAGGGCACTGCACTTCGATTACCTAGAAGTCTTTGGAGTGGTTCTGTGTTCACCTGCTCTGTTGCTCTGACTTTTCCCAACATTCGCAGCATGAATTAGAAACATATAATAACTCTTACTGTCTCCTGTTGGCTTATGAAAAGCAGATAGTGATCCAAGCAGGGCTTGCTAGGGTGAGATGTTTTTAGCGGGTGGGAGGGGGGAAGTGCTTGGGGTTTTTTTTTCCTGCTGCTCAGGATTTTTTTGAGCAGCAACAGACATGGGAGATGTAGTTCTGGACTGAGTCTCAAACAGAAGGTTCTTTCATATGGAAACATATTTTTATATTACATTTGTACAGAATTTTCCCTATTTTGATCTTCCCAAATTTTTAGATTTGCTCATTGCTCAGATTTTATTTCTTTTGCAAGGTGTTATAAAATATGTATTTTATGTTTATTAATGTATTATAAATGTAAAGCTTAATTTTGCTTGTCTAATAAATGTGCACTGTGGTGGTATCTGTTTTATTGTTTTGCTAACTTGAATTCATTGGTTCTTAATACAAAAAGGACAAACTTGAGTCATTGTTGTGACTGTCTTGTTAGCATAAATAAATGTGTGGAGTGCATTTATTTAAAAAAAAAAAACTAAAAAGGGCTTAAGAAGCAGGTAATGACTAAGAATACTTGTTGATGACAAAAGTTAAGAGTTAAATAAGGTTCAGACTAGTATATAGTGTTGCCAGGATTCTTTTAAGATCATAATCTTAAGATACATGAGATTTTTTTCATCTGTTCATTACTTTTGGTTTTGGGTATTCATACTGCAGCGAGTTTAAGACATAGTAATTGCAGTCTGAGAAGTATGTATGAGGAGATGAGAAGGTCTGAGGCTTTGTGTTTGGGAGTATTTGAGGACTAACTGTGGCAGAAATATTTACAATGAACACAAAGATAATTTTGCAAAGGATCGAGGATAGATTCAAGTGTTTGAATTTATAGACTATTAGAATTTCTAGGAGCTTTGTTTTGCCCAGCGATAGCACTGAATAATACATTATTACAACTCTAGGGGACCTGCTGGAAGCGTTTTAAACTTTAGGGGATAACTTCAGGCATCTCCACTTGTGAATAGGTATGTTGATATTTTTGTTGCAAACTTTTTACTTCATTTTAAGCCGTTTTGTAAGTTTGATTGTTTTAAGTGCAGAGGGGGAAATGTATTTTTCTAGAAGAATGAATGTACCTGGGATTTAAACACTACATAAAGCATTTAATGAACATGAAGGACTGTCCTCCTATGAAATATATGTCAATAAAGTTGTGTCTGAAATGTACTTCATTTGAAAAAAAGAAAAAAAATGTTCTGAACATGCACTTACATTTACATGGAAAAAAGCCCAAACACAGGTGAATTGAATACTGAAATGTATTTCTACAGGCAATAAGTATTATTTAATGTAAGTTATGTTAGACATTTGGAGTAAATGTGACAATATCTTAAGTTAATTAAAGAAAAATGTAAATAAGTGTCTGGGAAGGGAGTGAAATTAGAAAATATTGGTGTATGTTTCTGAAATCCAGATTTCTATAGCTGAGTCTGTATTTGCTGGCATTAATCATGTGTTATGGCTATTGAAAACCTGGACAAGAATGAACAGTAGACCTTTCTTTGTAAACGGAACTTGGCAATAAAAATGGTGTTACTAAGAAAACTTCCTTCCCTTTCATGTTCTGTTGCTGGATTTGATACACAAGGACATTCAATAACGGTGAAATGCAAAATTTGCAGAAGCTTGCTTTTGTTAAGAAGAATGGTGTGCATATGTGAATGTCAGGTGTTCTAATCTTAAGCAGAAACCTGAAATAGCCAAGGTATTTTTGCATTGTGTATGCAGGAAAGACATAGCATGAGAGAGCAAGCATAAAAGAAGCCTGTAGAGTTGATGGAAAGTAGGTAAGACCAAGGGTTGAGAGTGGCTGGGTAACATTTAAAATGTCTTTTTCAAAGTGAACCACTTTGAAAGTGCCTGTCATGTGTGATTTCTTCCCCCAAATATATCCTTGCACCCTCTGACTCTTTCTCTGGTGCATGTTGCCAGTTCAGTATATGGATTAAATCCAACCGAGTTATTAGTTGGATTCTTGTTAATTAGCCTCTCCATCTATAGGAATTAATTACAGTCAATATACATTCCTTGTGAAATGTTATTTCTCAAACTAGGCATTGCTCCAGAAGCTTTCTTAGGAAGAAGTTAAATCACATTGTACCGTGAAATAAGCAAGCTATGTATCGTAGGTGGGAGACAATACTGTGATTTACTATAAGATGCAAATATTAAAACATGGTGTATTGGGGAAAATGAGCTTAAATCTGCTCCTGGCAGTTGGACTTTCTACATCATGCCAATAATGCTGCTTTAAGGATAACAATTTTATAATTCATGGCCAAGGAAGTTCCCTTCTCTTTGAAACTGTTTTGTGGTTCCTTGTCCTGGTTTCAGCTAGAGTAGTTAATTTTCTTCCTAGCAGCTGGTATAATGTTGCGTTTTAGATTTAGTATGAGAATAATGTTGATAACACACTGATGTTTTCAGTTGTTGCTAACTAGTGTTTAGACTAACTTAAGAATTTTTCAGCTTCTCATGCCCAGCCAGCAAGAAGGCTGGAGGGGCACAGGAAGTTGGGAGGGGACACAGCCAGGGCAGCTGACCCAAACTGGCCAACGGGGTATTCCATACCATGTGATGTCATGCCCAGTATATAAACTGGGGGGAGTTGGCCGGGGGGGCCAACTGCTGCCTGGGGACTGGCTGGGCATCGGTCAGTGAGTGGTGAAAAATTGCATTGTTCATCACTCATGCGTCTTGGGTTATATTTCACTCTTTTTGTTATCTTCCTTTTCATTACTATTACTATGGGGGGGGGTTTATTTCAATTATTAAACTGTTCTTATCTCAACCCATGAGTTTTACTTGTTTTTGATTCTGCTTCCCATCCCACTGTGGGGGCAAGGAGTGAGTGAGTGAGCAGCTGTGTGGTGCTTCATTACTGGTTGGGGTTAAACCATGACAGTCCTGTATCCTTCTGATGCCCCAGAACTTTTGCAGCCTTTTGTCTTGTCACTTTTCCTCTGTTTCTGTACAAGATCTTTTTAGACTTGGACATTGAGTCAGGTTCAGCCTCTTGCCCTGTGTTACTAATGGTCAGAGACCCAGTGAAAGCACAGCCTCAAGCCCTCTTCTCATTCTGACTGGGATGAAAGTGAACTTGACAGTTACGCAGTGCTGTATCAGTCCACTCTTTTCTTAGTCCACTTGAATATCTAAGTGCAGCCACTTGAACAGCCCTTTAATAGGTAAATCCACATCTTTATCATTAAGATAATTCATTCCAGCATAGTTATATAAATAAGAAAGTGAAACTGTGTCAATATATATGTCTTTATCAAAGTAACTCTTGTCTAAGTAAAGATGAAGCATTTGGTGATTGAGATCTTTATTCTCTGACACCTAAACTCCTGGGTATGTTTCTGTATCAAGGCAAGAATTCACTGGGATGCATGGAGGGAGCTGTTTGGTGGGGGGAAGAAATTGCATCCCTAACTGCATTTTTATGCTGCCATGTTAGAGCTTGTGTGGAGACAGAAGCTGTATTGGGACTTTCTGGTGATCTTTCTGAATACATGATGCATACAACTGGGAGTGCAAGCTCACTCTTTATGTGAGTGTATTCCCTGAAAATTCCATTGAATTTTAAGCTGATACCTTTTATCTCTCAAATAAGGAGAGGTGGTGAGAGTTACAATACCTGGAGTTGCAACTCTCCACTGGCAAAATTAGAAGAAAGGTTTCAGGCAAGTGTTTGCACAC